TATATTAACAGTTTACAATTTAATGAAGTTGATCGTGATAATAATAATTCTACTGAAGAGGATGTTGTAGTATGTTTACCAGATTCCAGTAATCCTAATAAAATTATATCCCAAAAAAACATAAATAAAACCATTCTAAATACTTTTAAAGAAAATACCAATAATTTTAATGCTGGCACATCTAAAATTAAAATATTTTTCGACACTATAACCGAACAAAATCAAACGCAACTTGACAGTGCTTTGGCATTGGCTATTTTTATGTCAAATTGCCCTTTTAATTTAGTTGAAAATAAATATTTCATCAGTTTTTTAAAATTAATGCGTCCAGCCTATAAAATTCCTTCTAGACATGCAATTAGTAAAACATTACTAGATTTTGAATACATTAAAGTGAAAAATATTATTAACAATAAATTCAATAATTTAAAAGATTTTACTCTCATAAGCGATGGCTGGACAAATATTCGCGGAGAGTCCATTATTAATTTTATAATAATGGCTCCAGAACCAATTTTTTTTAAATCCATTGACACAGGTTCCAGTGCTCACACTGGTGAATATATCGCATCTGAGTTGATCAAGGTAATAGAAGAAATTGGTTGTCAAAAATTTATCTCACTAGTAACTGATAATGCAAAGAATATGAAAAAGGCCTGAAGTCTTGTTAAGGCAAAATATAATTATATTGAATGCTTTGGATGTGCCGCACATGGGTTGAATCTGCTTATTAAAGATTTATGCCAAATACCTTTTATTGAAAAGATCATCAAAAAAACCAAGCAAATAATTAAATATATAAAATTTCATGGTATTTTATTAGCAACTTTTAAAGAAAGGCAAATATTGAAAGGGTATAAATCTTCCTTAAAAATTCCAAGTCCGATAAGATGGGGAGGTTTTGTTATAATGTTGCAAAGTGTTGTGAAAAATAAGGAAGTTTTGCAAGAAATTGCAATTTCTAGTTTATTTACAAACAAACAAAGAAGGCTTATTATATTAGACAAAGAAGGATACTGGGATAAATTAGAGTCTGTACTGACCTTTTTGGAATTTATTTATAAGAAAATTATATTTGTAGAATCGGATTCAGCAGTATTATCTGACGTTCCAGAAATATTTTGGGACATAAAAGATAAACTCAATTCATCAACTTTTATTTTTAATGAAAATGATTTGAAAAGTGTTAAGATGCATATTAAAAAACGAAAGAAATTTTGTTGCCGAGAATATCATTATGCAACAAATCTTCTGGATCCTCGATATTATGGTGTGAAATTAACAGACCGTGAATTAACAGCAGCTTTAAATATAATAAATATTATTTCAGGCCAAATTAATTATATTGGATAAATTATGGGTAATTTAGCAGAATATCGTTCAAAACAAGGTTTCTATAAAGGAGCTGGCATATGGGAGCGCTCAATCCATACCAAACCACTCATATGGTGGAAAGGGTTGTGTACAAATCAACCCCTTTGTCAAGTGGCAGTAAGATGTCTTTCGAAACCACCCTCAAGTGCCTCGTCAGAAAGAGTCTGGTCAGCATTTGGAAAAATTCATTCAAAAACGAGAAATAGAATAAAGAATGAAAGAGTCGAAAAACTAATATCAATAAGGCATAACATACATTTAAAGGATCATACAAATACATCAAGTTCGGGATATCATCAAAAGAGTTCAGATTCCGATTTATCAATATCAAGTGATAATGATGATATTTCAATTTCATCCCATGAAGATATTGATGCTATTTCATTAGCATCCCAAGAATTTTAAATGTAATTTCTGATACATGCTTTTTGTAATTAATAAAGTTATTCAAAAAAGGATGTTTATAGTGTATTTATTTTTGTCTTTATTGTTTAATTATATTATTTTCCCTTAGTTCCCCCAATTTAATAAAGTTATTCCATAAAAAAAAATTGAAAGGTTTAAAGTATATTTTGTGGTTATTTTTTAATTTTCCGTTATTTCCCGTTTTTTACCGTTATTTCCCGTTTTTTACCGTTATTTCCCGTTTTTTCCCCCGTTTTTTCCCCCAATTTTCCCTTTTTTTCCCCAATTTTCCCTGGGAAATTTCCCCTGAACCAATTTTCCCGGGAATTTACATCTATACTTTTCCCAGATGTCAATTTTCAGATTCCTAAAATAAAAAACGATTTTATATTTTTGCCTTTTAATATTTTACATTTGTCTGTGTCAATTTAAAACTTGACTCAGAATATTTGGTAATATCATCAATATTTTCTTTTAATTATATATATTGTTTGATATATAGTAGATCCTTATTTTCCAGCACCTTTTAATGTTACGATTTGAGTTATTGTAATATATATATTGTAAGGTTTAAGAGTAGATTGACAGATATTCCAAGAGAAATTGCAGAGATTATTAGCAGTGTAATATTTTGAAGAATTTAAAAATAAAAAATTAAATAATTTTGTATAAATTGTAAAAATTGTCCACTTACTATTACTTCAATTACCATTTAATAATTCAATCTATTATAATATAGTGTTGTATATTTTCTCATAACTTCATAATTGTAGAATGTATGTTATTCATAACTTATAACATTTTCGATGAAATATATAACCTTTTTATTTTACTTATATATAATTTGACTATGATTGTAGTTAACCTCCTATTATTTGTTAACTTAAAATATCTTTTTATTATTTCTATTGTAATTTAATATCAATTTCTTATATTTAATTTTATAATTTGTAACTAAGTAATAAATCATTTGTAAAGGTGGTGGTTTGTTTATAATTTAAATTAGGATGAACAAATTTGTATTCATGAATTTCACATAATGATAGGTAAATCAGATATTTTCCCTTCATTTGATGATTATTTTTAAAAAAAATTCCCAATTAATATATACATATATTAGACAGATTTAATTCTTATAAACCCCTTACTATTTTTCTGGATCCAAGGAAAAAATTAATTATTCTGGGTTTTATTGGGCTTGGGAAATATTTTTCGTAGCTTGCTAAACATTTTTCAAAAATTTTTTTTAATTTTAAATATGGGCTTGAAATTGGCCTGAAAATTCCATTTGAAGACATGGTCAGGCCTGATCAAAAACCAAGGCCCATCCAACTTTCATATTCTCATTGTATTTTTAAATGCATTGTGACTTTTTATATATTTTATTTCAGTTCTCAACTACCAAATTTATTATGGTCTTTTGCAGGTTTGAGAAAATCCCAAGTGCGTGGACCTGGCTTGAGAATTTTTTTAATATTAGGCATAGGTATAATATTTAAAACAGAATATTTATATGGCCCTCAGGTAAAAACTATTTTAAATATATTTTTATTCAAAAAAACAGTATTCACTCTTAGTCTAAATGGGTTGGCCTTGGTCTGAAGTAGGGGTGATCTGAGTTAAGATAGAATAAAAAATAGATATGGTTATTAGAGATTTACTTATATCCAGGTTTGGAAAAAAATTTTGAAAATTACTATGGGTTGGCCAGGCTTGAGAAAAATTTTTATAAAATTATTATGAGTTAGACTGGGCTTGGAAAATATTTTTATAAATTATATTGGGCTGGGTCTGGGGAAAATTATTATGAGCTTGGACGTTTAATAATTTTTTTATTATTAACTATGGGTCAGACATTGGCCTAAAACAAGTTATTTTGCAGGCCTGGGCTCGGCCTGATCAAAAAACCAAGGCCCATGAAAATCTGTTGTATTTTTAAATTCTTTATGATCATTTAAATGTTTCATTTCAGTTCTCAACTACCAAAATTTTTATGATCTTTCATTGGGCTTGGAAGAATTTTTCAAAATTATAATGGTTTTGTACTTTGCCTGGGAATTTTTTTAATATTAAATATTAGATATAAAGTAATATTTAACAGCTAATATTGGTATTATCAAGTAAAATCTTTAAATTTAATTTTACTCAAACCAGTATTTACACTAAGTTTTAATGGATTAAACCTAGCCTGAAGAGTGAGGGGGTAAAAAGAATAAAAATTGGATATTATTTTCAAATAACAGGTAATAACTATCATAAAGATAAGAAGAAAGTTCTCACTCCCCGTCATTTTTGACGGGCTATCTACTAGTAATATAATAAATGGCCAGATATGAAATTCAGAATAGTTCAGAGTTGGCAAATTTAAAAAAAGTATGATATATTAATATATAACCCGGCCGAAGGCCGAGTAAAAGCTGGTCGAAGGCCCGCAAATTAGGGGGTATGGAGGCTTCGCCCTCATAATTTTTTTTATTTGAACCGCTTGAGATTAAAGGCTAGCGACGCCCCTGATAATGGCTTTTCTTGCCTGAGAACGTATGTAAATATTTCTTAAATTAGAAAAACAACTACTTTTACAAAATCATACTTAATAAAATACAAATAAACTATTTCGCTAAATATTTGAATAATAATAAAACAAAATGTTTAATAACAACATAATTTGAATTCCAAAAATTACTGAACAATAGCCAACATCACGACACCCACGTCTAAATTTAAAACAAATTTTTTTGGAAGAACCTAAATTTAAATTTTATTTACGTAATATATTATATAAAATCTTATAATAAATAGATAAATTTAGGTGTATATTAACAATTTATTTTTAAAATATAATAATAATATATAAATATAATAACAATAAAAGTTAATAATATGTAAAAATAGCGTTATTTGTAAAATAAAATAGAAAAGGCATCTATGTACTTGACTTCATATGTTTAAATATATTCTAAAAGATTCTTCTACTGTTACTGTATGGATATGATGAGATTTTCCTTCGTAGTTAAGTCCAAGAATTTAAAATTCGGAGGAATGGTCGAAGAGTCTTTTAAAGTTTTTTATCAAATTATATAATACAAATATTTCATAATTTTATATTAAATAATATTTGTACTTATATTTTTATATGCATACATTGTTAATTAAAAAATACCAATAATATTATATTAAATAAATATATATTAAATATCTTTATTTTTTTTATGGATAAAATTATTATTTTATTGAGGAGTTATTGAAAAATTCATTTTCCATTTGTTATTTTGACCATTTTTATTAACTTATTTCCGTCATGGTAATTAAGGTATCAATAATGTTTTCTTTTTATACATAAACATTTTTTAAATGTTAGGGAAAAAGAGGTAAAGGCAAAAAATTTTCAAAGAGAATTGCACCACCTCCTTCAATTGTTAAGAAAGAGGTTATCGTTCCTAAAAAAGTTTCTAACCCACTTTTTGAAAAAAGACCAAAAAATTTTAGAATAGGTATGTTTCTTTATTATAGTGCAATGTTTATATTTTTCAAAGGCCAAAATATTGGACCCAAGAAAGATTTGACTCGTTTTGTTAAATGGCCTAAATATATTCGACTTCAAAGACAAAAAAGAATTCTATTAGAAAGATTAAAAGTCCCTCCACCAATAAACCAATTTAGACATGCAGTTGACCTTCAAACTGGTAATAAATTTAAATCTAATTTACATGATGATATATGTTACTGAATTTCATGTGGACATTTGAAACTTTCACCAAGATCTCTGATTTTTTTTGAATACATTTCATAACGCCATTTTTTAGCAAGACAACTCCTTAGACTTTTGAACAAATATCGTCCTGAAACTAAACAAGCTAAAAAGGCAAGATTGAGAAGTAGGGCTTTGGCAAAAGTACAAGGTAAAACAAAAGTGGATGTGTCAACTAAAAGAAAGCCAATAATTCATTCTGGTATAAATAACGTTACCAAACTGATTGAACAAAAAAAAGCATCATTAGTAGTTATAGCTCATAATGTTGATCCCATTGAAGTAATATAGTATTTATTTGCAGAATGTAATTTTACATTTTAAAGCTAGTGATATTTTTGCCAGCATTATGCCGCAAAATGGGCATACCTTATTGTATCATAAAAGGAAAATCAAGGCTGGGCACATTGGTGTATAGAAAAACTTGTACTTGTGTTGCACTGACAAAAGTTAATCCGTAAGCTTAAATTTGCTATTGTAAAAATGATGAATTAAAGAATTTCTTCACTTGATATAATGAAAATATAATTATATCTGATAATCTAAACATTAAATATCTTTTATTTTTTATCATTTTATATTTCAGTGAAGACACCGCTTCACTAAATAAACTGATTGAAGTTATCAAAACGAATTTCAATGACAGATTTGATGAAGTATATTATTCTATTTATACTATAATGATATTATTTTAATAATTTAGATTCGTAGACAATGGGGTGGAGGTAGAATTGGTGCCAAATCAGAAGCAAAAATTCATAAGATGGAAAAAGTTAAAAACAAGGAACTTATTAAAAAGCTTGGTTGAAGATATATCTTAATATAATTTGATTGTTATCCTAATTTAAATAAAATACAAATTTCCATTAGTAGTATATTATCTTGTTATATTATTGTTATAATAAAAATAAATTTTGGTTCTTGAATTAAAGCTGCTTCATATACTTAAAATTAATATATTTAAGAATAGGACTTCTAGATTAACAAATTAAATTTTTTGCCTATTTTTAATTCTCTAACAATCTACTTGTAAATTAAATGCTACATATATTATTTATGAAGATTTAAAAATTAAAATTAATAGCTTACAATGTTATTGATTTTGGTTTAAAATCAATTTTCATGATATATGAATTCAGAAGCCCTCTAGTCTCAAATTCATCAAACTGGATATTTAATATTGGGGAGAAAGTTGTATGTACTTGTACATGAAATAGTCTTAGAACTTTTGCTTAAATGTCTAGGCTAAGATAAAAAGAATTAGGCAAAGCAAAAACCTTTACCCAATAATTGTGCATTTGGGTATGTGAAGGGCTGATTTTAATTTTAAACGTCTGTTAAACAAGTAAGTTCTAGTGGTGTTGATGTTTGCATTATGAATAAATTGAATCTTGTCATGTTGACCACCTAAAACATAATAACTTTGACCCATTATTGTTTGCATTAATTATAGCTGGAAAAAAGTTGAATTTGTTCATATGAATTGATTGTTGTATTGGAGGTCTGCAATAGGCAGTTTTTTAGCCAAAAAGTCCGCCCACACGTTTTGAAACATTTAACCTGCCCACTTATAATTTTTTAAAAAATTGCTCACCTGCCCATTTATTTATAAATTTTCTTTAACCTGCTCGACCGCCTAGTTTGAAAATTATTTTAATGGCTGGTTTTTATATTATTTTAATGTATTTTTAATTAAACGATAATATGAAATAAAACTATTATTTTAAATAAATTGAAATCTGTTCTGCTCATTTTGCCTGAAAAATATCAAAAATTTATTTGCCCATGCCTGCTCATTTAAAAAATTTCTAATCCACCTGCCCAATGCAGACATCTAATCTGTATTGTATTTTGGTAACAAAAAACAATTTTACTGACTTATTTATGAATAAACCTAGTTATAATAATTAATAAAAAGCAGGGTTGGCATGTCGGTCAATTGACCGGTCAAATTCTCTAAAATATTAATGGCGAATAAATATTTTGATATAATTAACTAGTATGCATTAAAAGCATGTTTATCAATCTTATTAGGTTAGAATTTAAAAAATTTTTTGTATCATGAATTGTTAAAAATAAAAGAATTTTTTTATTGATAAAATATAAATATGTAATTTTACTAAATTTAGTAATATTTTTAGTTATTTTTTTGCCTAATCATTGCCGTTTCTCGCCTTTATTTTTTTCAATTCATTTTTCTTAAAAAAAACAAAAATACCCGATTTATTATCATAATATAATTTTTTCATTCTTATTTTTTAATAAATTTAAATTTTATTTAATATTTAGCCGAGTATAAATTATATTAATTCTCATTTGTTTTACTTACACTTTCTATATTTGGTTTTTAAAATTAATTTTCATTTTAATTGTTCTGGTCAGATTTACGGAATATTATTCAATTCTGGTAAAAAGTTATATATATATTATATTTATAATATTAAGAATTGGAATAATTGGTCGATAATTATAAAATAGTTAAGATTGATTAACTTTACAATAATCAAAATCATTTTTTGTTAAATTTTAATATATTAGGGATTATGGTCAAACCAAAGCATCATGTTTGGAAACATTTTCAAGAAGTACGCGATGGTAAATCAGTTAAAGCGGTGTGCAAGTTTTGCAAGATGTCCTATATCACCCACGTTGATAGAATGGTCAAACATTTATTAAGCAGCTGTACTATGTGCCCTGTTATAATTAAGGAAAAATTTTAATCAAATTCCAAAATATCAACCTCTACAAAAAATATCACAAATGTAATTTGTAATACTTCTAAGTCTAACTCTAATGAAGAATTGGGTGAAATTAGTGAGAATGATTATCAAATGAACAATATTTTGGCTTGTGACTCAGGAAAATTTGATTCCATAATTTCTAATCAATCTACAAACAAGGCGATTAAATATAAATCTCAATCTTGTATAACCGGTTTCATAGATAGAATTAATCCCAAAGAAAAAAATGAGCTGGATCAATTGTTTGCAAAGGCTGTATATGCGAGCAATTTACCTTCCACATCACTGAAAATCCCTACATCCAAGAATTTTTTAAAAAAATACGTCCTATTTACACATTACCCAGGAGAAGGCAGCTGGCTTGATATCTTCTAGACAAAGCGTCAGGTGATATGTAGGTGAGAGTTGCAGATATAATAGATAAAGCTCCTTACTTATCAATTGTATCAGATGGCTGGGGCAACATTAGAAACGAGAGTATTATTAATTTTATGGTGATGACGCCTGTTCCAGTGTTCTATAAATTTCTAAATACTGAGGAAAATCGCCATACGGCAGATTATATTGCCCAGGAATTTAAAAATGTAATTCATGAATTGAATCCTGTAAAAGTATATTCTTTAGTTACTGATAATGCCGCTAACATGAAAGCAGCCTGGAGAATTCTAAAATCTGAATCTATTTATAATCATATACAATGTTATGGTTGTGCAGCGCATACATTGCAGTTATTCTTACGATTTTGAACGACTGAACGCCTTCAATGACCATATTTCAATAATTAAAAAAATTGTTAAATTTTTTAAGAATAAACACATACCAGCTGCAGTATTTTCCCGTAATAAGAATCTTCATGGCATACCATCTACATTAAGTACAATTAGCCAAACAAGATGGGCATCGTCAATAAAATGTATGGAGCAAATTCAAATATGCAAGAAAGCTCTAAAAGCATCAGTTGTTGAAGAAGCTGTTTGTGATATTTGTCCCATAGAAATTACCAATAATATATTAAACGAAGAATTTTGGACGAAAAATTTAAAATTTTTAGCTATACTCCAACCTTTAGCTACCTCATTGTTGAAAGTGCAAGGGGATAAATGTACTTTGGCCCAAGTAAAAAACGAGATGCTTAATTTGGAAAAACACATAATACAATCATGCCATGATTCTATATTTTCTCCATCTCAAGAAAAAAAAATTAAGGTTATGTTTGAAAAGAGAAAAACTGATCTAAATACATGTGCTCACAATGCTGCTTATTTATTGGACCCCCAATATCAAGGGGAGCATCTTACTAATACTGAATTTGATGAAGCATGTAATATAATACAAGAATTGGGTATTTTACAAGGTGGTGATAATCAAAATATTTTGAGTAATATAGTAAATTTCAGAAGCAAAAGCGGTATATTTAATAGCCATAATATGTGGAATGTTGTAACTTCCATTAGAAACAATCAAATTTTGGCCCCAAGTTGGTGAAATGCATTTTGCCCACCTTGCTCATTAAGAGAAGTCGCTAATATTTTACTAACATTTCCTAGTTCGACTTCTTCTGAAAGAAAATGGTCGGTTTGGGGCAATATTCACACCAAAAACAGAAATAGATTAAAGGCTTCTACAGCAGGAAAATTAGTAAGAGTGTATCATAATTTAAGATTGATTAAAAATATTAAAGAAAATAATGATATTGAATATGAATCGGAACAAGACTCTGCCACATTAAAAAATATTATGATATTTATTATTATACATAGATTTATTATAATATTATATAAATGCAAAATAAAGTTAATATTGGTGTAAAAAACATTTATTTGAATTTGACCATATTTGACCTGTCAAATGCACAACCCTGATAAAAAGAGATACTGATTCTTTTTCATTTATCATCTGTTACTGTTTAATTATTTCTTAATAAATCTTCATTTTTGATAATTTTAGCTCAAATTAATATATTTTTGACAATTATACTATTATGCAATATAATCTATATTTATTTAAAATTTGATATTAATTTTAGGATAATTAAAAAAATTATAATTAGTACAAGGAAACTTAAAATAATTACTCATTTTATAAAAAAAAAATTGAATATTCGTTTTTAAAACTGAATAATTGTTTATTAGCATCTGAATAAAACAATTAACTCACTATTTGTCCTTTTTTTATTGTACAACTAGTGTTATTAATTGGTTGTGTAAAACCCAGACTTGGGGTTTGGGACTAAAAAGTGACTAAATCAGCTCTGAACACAGACCTGAGGTTCAGATGAATTAAATAAAAACTATTTACCAAGCGCGTTAGATAGTAAAGTCCTGAAAGCAGCTCAGCTCCGGGTTAAAATTTTTTTTAATTGGGTCTACCCAGGGCTTAAAACTACCAAAAAAAGTAGGATTAAAATGATGTTGGCTAGCCGAATGATTATTTCCATACGACATTTGCAACGATGTGAAAATTTGCCTTTTTTTAAAAATATAGATTAGAATTTTTCTGGGATTAGGACAAGGACAATAAGTATTATTTAACTTTACAAAAAATTAAAATGCTTTTTATTTATATTTTTAAAATCTTGCTTAAAAATTATGTACAACTCTTAGAACAAGATTCCAAATTTTTAGATTTAGAACCTATCCCTTAACGTTTATTTTAATATAATTCATTTTAAAAAAAAATTTAAATATAGATATACTTAATTTAATTTATATTTTTTCTCTTATATGTATGGCGCCACTTAGTGTTGTAAATTTGCTTGGTAATTTATGACTCAATTTGATGCTCAGGCCTGCTCTAGCACGAACCCGGGGTCCAGACCCGTGGTTATATAAAATAATAAATATTCGATTTATTTCATTTTTAAAATTATAGATTAATAATTATCTTCAACATGCTTTATCGAAATCTTAATTTATTTAGATAAGGAGAGAGGCCGAGCTGGACTGGAATTTGAATTGAATAAAAAATATTTGTTTTTAAAAAATTTTTCTTTATTTATAAATAACTAAAAATAATAATAATAAACTTAACTTCAAAAATATTTTAAAAAACGGAAGTTTTATTTTTCCCTACAAAAAATTTTTTATTCTTAAAAAATACCTCATCCACATGATGGCGCTACTACTAAAGAAAATTTAAAAAATTTTCCAGTTTTATTAAAAGTTTTTTTTGTATATGTTTAAATATTTTA